GCCATCTGGGGGGAGGGGCCATGGGAGGTTGTCCAGTGGCCCCACCCCCGATCAGGCCAGTTCACTGGCCACAGTGGGCGTCCTAGTGACCAGTCGTTCTGGTCGTTACGACATTCTGGTTGCTGGCTTTTTATATACATATATATTATATTAAAGACTGATTCACATAACAGGAGATAGATTGAAAATCCAAGCGTAGATATAGCCATTTAGTTGAATTGCTTCATTCACCTTTATCATCAACTATAATATACATAAGAGGTAAGAATTTTCTATCTTATTCTTAGCTCTCAAAAATGACAAAAAAAAAAATCTTATATGGTGAAGGAGTGGTGAAGGCATGAAGATTGTCAGTGAGTGGTAAATAAACATTAAGTATCAAAAAGGGTTAGTAATGATTATGTGAATTGCTATGAGATTCAGCAGCATTAAATATGTTATTTTTATCCTAATGTTTCTTCCCTAGTAGATACCTTTGGGGAGTTTTTTTTCTTTCTTGTTCTTTTGGGGTGTTTTTATACAATGATGATTTTAACTAAATTATCCCAAAGGTCATTTTATTAAAATAATTTTCTATAACTTTTAATTGCCAAGTAGGAAAGTGACAGATGGAGAAAATATGAAATGCTATTAATTTTCAGTTACATGATTTCAAAGTGTGTGGATTTTGAAAAAATTTACTAATAAAGTAATGGTTTATTTTTGTTGGGAAAAATCACAATCACTTAGACAATTCTAAGGTAAGATAAAAAAACATGAATAATTAAAAAATTGTTTTTCTAAAGTATTAGCCTAAAGTAAAATATTCAGTTTAATACATATGTATATATTTATATATTATTTAAAAATAGAAGTGTTAAAAATGCAATTATAGATGAGGTTAAAATACTTTATTGTTGCAAGTCAATTATCAGTATAAAATTCTTTAAAACCTCGCTCCTATGAAAACCTTGCATTTATTATAGATGGCATTTGAATTAGTTATGAATTATGCTTGGCATATTGAATTTAGATTCAGATATGCTTTGAAGATTGTTGAATGGTAAAATGTCAGCTTAAAATGAATGTTTTACATGAAATATTATGGAAATTTAATTCAATCTTCTATATTTTAGACTGATAAGAAATCAATTAAATAATTTTAAATTATCTGTATATCTATTTCTATCAGCAGTTCTCAACCTGTGGGTTGAGAACAATGAAAATATATCCTGCATATCAGATATTTACATTATGATTCATAACAGTAGCAAAATTACAGTTATGAAGTAGCAATGAAAATAATTTTATGGTTGGACACCACAACATGAGGAACTGTATTAAAGGGTCATAGCATTAGGAAGGTTGAGAACCACTGTCAGTGCCAACTCATAATTATGGAGTGAAGTAATATAATGTATAGATAGCATGTGTAAAAAGCAGTACTATAAACCTATTTTAGTTAACTCTGAGATGGAAGTCCCTACAATGCATGTGAAATTAAATTAAATAAAGAACATGTTACTTTATTGAATACTAGAGGTTCAGTGCATGAAATTTGTGCAGCGGCAGGGGGGCCCTCAAACCGGCCTGCACCCTCTCGCAATCCGGGACCCTTGGAGGATGTCCGACTGACGGTTTAGAGGGATTGGGCCTAAACTGGCAGTCGGATATTCCTCTCACAATCCAGGACTGCTGGCTTTTAACTGCTCCCCTGCCTGCCTGATCACCCCTAACCCCTCTGCCTGCCTGATCACCCCTAACCGTCTCTGCCTCGGCCCCCACCATGGCGGCTTCATCCGGAATGACGTCCAGAAGGTCATTCGGCTATCCGGTCTAATTAGCATATTACACTTTTATTATTATAGATTGTTTTCCTAAATAAGTATTTCAGAGGCAGAATAGCTCTGAAAATAGCTCTGTTGAACCTAATCTCTAAATATTTGTTTTCAGAAAATAATTGAATTCTTACAATTTTTGTTTTACTAGAGAGGATGAAATTTCTAACCCTCATATATCAGAATCATTGAAATAGAATTTGTTTAAAATTATTTGAAAACTATTATCTTCAGATATGTAACAAAGAAATTTGTAGGAAATATTTACCTATTGAAAGGATATCTTATACTCTGGAATATAGCATAAACTGACCTATAATGAAAACTATTAAATAATTTAGTATACATGGGTGCCAAATTGTTTTCAACTTTGGAGCATCATCCATTCAACCAAAATAGAGTACATGTATATTTGTATTTGTCCTAAGATTATGGAGCTGACAAAATGTGCAAGGTCAAAAAATCAATTATGCATTATTCTTAGAAGTTACCTTGAGTTATTTTTAAAGTAAGATAACACATAAATACATAAGTAAATAAAATACTGATTTTTTTGTACATATAGTTGAAATACAGTCAATTATATCTTTATTATTAAAAGATAACTATCATGTCTAACAAAATATAAACTGGGTAATTATTTTCAAAACCTAAAACTAATGGTCCATGTTTATCTCAACTGTGTATATAAATAAAAGTGAATACCAGGATAAATACGAAGAGGTGCTAGAATACTGTGTGAATGCATTTTCTCTCAGCAAACCATTGCATCGTTACATTATATTGCAATGCAGAAGAAGCTACATGAAATGCACTAAAGCAATCCTAAGTCATCCACATCTCTCAGCAAATCAAATATGTTCAGAAATATTTTGGCATGTCTTAATACCCCTCCAGTTCTAATGCAATGATATCATACAAGGGAAAAGCAACTTCTAACCAAAATACTTCCATGCCATGCATACACCCATGCATACATATTACTGGAGAGAAGCAGTATGACCAGGTGCAGTGGGTAGTGTGCACACAGCAGGCTATGACAGTGTGGGGTGGGGAAATTTGCACACAAGAGCAAACTTTATTCTTTCACAATAGACAAAAGGTTCACTTGAACCTTCATAGAGGAAAAAGCAAGGTATTAAAAATTGTCTATAATGCCTAAGTCATTGCTGAACCAAGTTAAAACTTTTCTAGGAGCCCTAGCTGGTTTGGCTCAGTGGATAGAGTGTTGGCCTGCAGACTGAAGGGTTCCAGGTTCAATTCCGGTCAAGGGCATGTACCTTGGTTGCAGACATATCCCCAGTAGTGGGTGTGCAGGAGGCAGCTGATGGATGTTTCTCTCTCATTGATTTTCTAACTTTATCCCTTTCCATTCCTCTCTGTAAAAAATCAATAAAATATATTTTAAAAAAACTTTTCTAGGAATAATATTTACATCAGTATAAGGTCTCCTCCTGTAACAGACTTTCTATAATGAGGCTATTGTATTTTGCCTGTTCTGACAAATTAGAGTTTAAAAAAAATTTTTTTTTCAGGTAAACCAGTAGTACTCATGAAAGAAAGGACACAGAATTAACTTTTAGACTCATTTTGATTATGTTGATTCAAAGATTTAGATTGATAGGACGGTTTCCAAATAGTTTTTGTTTGTTTGTTTTTTTGGTGATGAATTTGGTCAACCCAGAGAATTATTAGGCTCAGAAAATTATCTTTTAAAAATTAAAATGATTAACACAAAATTTTCACGACAATTATTATAAAAATAAATGGAATGCATTTAATTTTCAATGAATTTGGTTGAAAATCATTTTGTTTTTAAAAATAATTCAGTATTGACTGTTTCTGAGGTAAACCTGCTTTTTCATCACAGTTCTTTGTTTGTATTTTTTATAAAGCAATATTTATGTTTTATACTAAAGCTCCTATAAGCATTAACTGTTTAGTGACTGGAAATTTAAATATATACCTCTCCCAAAGAGGTTATTATATGTGATTATTCAAATTTAATGCAAATAATACTGTTTCAAATTTACAGTTAAAATAATAAAGTAAAGGTAACTGACAACAAATATGCAATTCTAGTAGGAAAGAAAAATACTTGAGAGATTATATATTATAATATAAGAAAACTTAAGTGCTTTAAAATAATACTGGGTCTAGATATCTGTTATAAAATTCAGATTACTTTAATATTCATCTAACATTATGTCTATTGTCCATTCATCTAACACTATGTCTATTCTTAATTAAGGCATGTGGTAGCATCATCTGCAGAGGTTTTTTTAAATACATTTTTTTTCTCAGAAATTTTAGTTAGTAGATTGGACTATTTGTATAGGATTGCTTAGACTAAATTCTTGGCTGTGATAGGTTTAAATTCTATCACTGAATATGTACATGTATCCTTGTGATCTCTTTCTTATCAAACATATCAATGGATGCCACTATCAAAACCAACATTATTCATTTACTATACTATCTTAACATATCTTAACATTCAGAATGTGTTCTAAAAGACAAAGCTTTTTATTTTTGCCTAATTTTTAGATTTTTCTTTTCTTTTTTTAATATATTTTATTGATTTTTTTACAGAGAGGAAGGTAGAGGGACAGAGAATTAGAAACATCGATGAGAAAGAAACATCGATCAGCTGCCCCCTGTACACCTCCCACCGGGGATGTGCCTGCAACCAAGGTACGTGCCTTTGACTGGAATCGAACCTGGGACCCTTCAGTCCGCAGGCCGACGCTCCATCCACTGAGCCAAACCAGTCAGGGCTAGATTTCTATTTTCTGATAAGAGGAGCTGCTTTTCAAACTTTTTGTATAAATAAATTTCCCATTTACTTTGAAACTTACTTTGTCAAAGCACTTTTTATGGGGACTATAATAAGGCATGTATAATATTTCTGTTTAATATATATTAAAGTTTTTTTGACTGACCAAATAACTTGGTTAAATAAGATGAAGAAGAACATTTAAATATCCTTTTACTAAGTGAGGGAAGACAAATGGAATTATTAGAAAAAGAGAGTATTCTTAGCTGAAGGGCGATGGTGGTATTTTGGCTTTACATATGCAAAGAGATGTTTCCCCACCAAACACTGCCTGGGTGCAGAATATGCTCTCTGCTTTCTTACTGACGACCACATTCCTCCACTCAGAGTTAAGAAAGTGAATTTACCGTGTCTGAGAAACGGTAAAACTTCTCCAATGCAAAAGCTTCTGTCTGGGATTGAGAAACCAGAGAATCAGGCATACATGATTAATATAATCTCACAATTGGGTTCAATTACATATACCATGTTAACAACCATGTATCAATTAATAGATTTTTACATATGCAATGTCCACTTCCCAAAGTATGAAATGAGCTAAAAAACAAAACAAAACAAAAAGACCTGGATTTTATTATTTTTTTTTCCTGAACCAAACCTTAATTACAATATTTGCACATGGTGTATTTCAAATAGTGATTAAACAATAAGATATTATTTTTGCATTTTCCTGGAGTGCCAATTATTAGAAAATTAATCTTGCTGTCTTTCGTTGCGCTAAAGAAGGAATGTCAAATATCTGTATCCCAATAGTCTTACAGGTGGTAAAACTGAATAATGAACTGCTTCAGTAAGGATAATATTTTAAAAGGAGGAACCAGAATTGAGCAAGTAAATTTGTAGTCTATTATGTTATCCACTGGCTACTGTGACTGTTGGAGATGAGGTGGCAGTAGACAATGTCTGAGCTCTTAGCCCCACATGTGTAATACTTCTCATTTCTAGAGTTTGCAGTATACATGACTGATAAATTTTAGATTGTAGAAAGGAGGAGAAAGGAAGGGAAATAAAAAGTAAATGTGAAAAAGCAAACCAAAATGAGAGAGGAAAATAAATATTTCCTTACTTATGATTAATGAGATTAGAAGGAAAAATTGTCTTCATCAAACGTTAAAGGGAAAGACAAGAGCTTCAGCCCTGTGATACAGAATTGTTTTGTCCTATTACAGTGTTTTGGCCAGTACCAGGTCTCAAGAGAGAGAAAGGGGATGCAAATAGACAGTAAGGGAGGCAGACTAAGGGGAAGAAAAGAAAGAAAAGGCGAATGAGGAAGGAGTAGAAAAGTCTAAGAAAACTAGCTGACAGGGGTGAGGACAGGGTAAGGAGATGAAAAAAATTAATCTCCCATCAAAATATGTTTTCATGTACAAATTATATGCTTTCCTTTTCATAAAAAATTGATCAAATGCAAAATTTAGCATTGTTTTTTGTTGTTGTTTTTGTCCAGTGAATTACCAGTGTATCCCAACGCTGATGTTTCTTCCATGCTGCACTGAATTGGATATTTATTGGAGCAGTGATGATTCTGGGGAGTCAATTAGTTGTTGCTTCAGAAGATGACTAATACTGAGTAGACTCAGCACTGAGAGATCATGGCTTAGTGCTTTAAAAGGTTTTATGAATCTATAAATCATTGTCAATAATTTAGAAACCAGAAGGAATCCTTTAAAAAATTAAATCCTTAAAAATGTGCACTATATGAACTATGAAATTTCTCCATTGCTTATGACTCCACTCTCTTTCAAAATATTAGCTGGCACATGCGCATTAAAAGAAGTGAATATGCTGGCCAATAGAAACTCTTCCACACAGAAGAGGAAAGGGGTTGGTTAAAAAGAGATGGCATTGTAAGTCTTAATAGAGAGGAGCCACCCCATTCTGTACATCCAAATCCAATTAGGAGATTACCTCTACAACTTCCTGTGATCTCCCAATGATGTTCTAAATAACATTTCTTCTAGGTTTAATTTATTAGGTTGATGGACAAAAATAACACTATGTTGTGTTTCCCATGGGGATTCAGAAGAAATGTCTTTAAAACATGAAAGTATGTATCAAAAAAACCCTCTTAACCAGTGGACATAAGACATTGGGGGATAGGGGAGGCTAGGGGACTGTCTAGGGCGGGGGGATAAAATGGACACATATGTAATACCCTTTGTAATACTTTAAGCAATAAAAAATAAATAAATAAATAAATAAATAAATAAATAAATAAATAAAAGAAATTTGAAAAAAAAAACCCTCTTAGTTCTACATGAACACCAAAGTATTAATAAATAGGTAATATATGATGGAAACAAAAGAATTCATTTGGGAAAAAAAACAACTTTAATAGCTATATTTGATGACTTATGTGAAGTAAAATCACCAGAAACATACTAACATTGCAAATAAGAAATGACATGTTTTGGTTAATGAAAGCAAAAAATGGTGTCTTTTCAGGAAATATACTAGAAAGAAGTTGAGAAAGCTCTCATGTCAACAGTATACCTAGATGTCACCATTTTCTTCCTGAAGCTATTTTTGACAATTTAAATTTCAGTTGGACAAAACCAAAGGAACATCATAACATTTAGTCCTCGGTCTCCACTTCCTCTCTTCACATCCTATTAAATATAACAGCCCTAGCTGGTTTGGCTCAGTGGATAGAGCATCGGACTATGGACTGAAGGGTCCAGGGCTCGATTCCAGTCAAGAGCACATGATTGGGTTGCAGGCTCGATCCCCAGTAGGGGTTGTGCAGGAGGCAGCCTAACAATGATTCTCTCTCATCATTGATGTTTCTATCTCTCTCTCTACCTCTCCCTTCTCTCTTAAATAAAAACATATTTTAAAAATATATTTATATAACAAATTCACTTTTTAATAAAAGTTGGTATCCCGATGAACCCAATGAATTTAATTGCTTACCTTATTCTTTCTCTTTCGTCGAAATCTCAGAAGTTCTTTGTGTTGTCTTGATACAAAATTTACAGCTGCATATTCCAGAAGTGCTGCAAACACAAAAAGGAGGCACACTGCCATCCAAATGTCAATAGCTTTGACATATGATACCTAGCCAAGAAAGAGAGAGAAAGAGAGAGCGCACAAATTGACTTGTATTGTTACTTCCATTGGGAATAAAACCAATTGTCTGCTATAAAGCATAGCATGTGTATACCAGTTTGGGGGGGAAAGGGAAATGACACCAACACTTTTTTTTTTAACTTAAGAATTTTTTCAGTAATTAACTTTGCAAGTTTTATATATTAGTCATATGTCAAAACACATATTTTTGTTAATTTCTTTTCAAATGTGGTATTAGACCATACATATGATGGGGAAAAAATAAGATGAAATGTAATTTTATTTTTAGGTTAGTATAGCATAATGCTTGGAAAGTATGAAGTCCTATTAATATATACCATACCATCATGGCAGTATAATGCTGTTTAGCTTTTTAGGTCCATAGTTTCTTCATTAAAAAGTGTTGTATTTTGAAATGATTTTAACCTTACAGATATTGCAAGAACAGTAAAAAGAACTCCCACTTCTGTAGTAAACATTTGGTTACATTTGTCTATATATCTTTATCTCTATTATAATAGAGATAGATGTTGTCTATATCTGTGCCTTTCTCTCTAAATTATTTGAGTTGAATATTCAGTCATGATGCTCCATTACCTCCAAAAACTTATATGTATTTTCTAAAGGAAAAAGAACACTCTCATAAATGACTCTAATACATCCAACAAAATCAGGAAATTAATATTAATAAAACACCACCACCTAATTTTAAAACCCACTCCCATTTCACCAGTTGTTTCAATAATGCCCCTTTTAGCAGAAAAACATTTTTCTTTTAGTTCAGGATTTAAATATATATAGAGAGAGGAAGGGAGGGGAGAGAGATAGAAACCTCAACGATAAGAGAGAATTATTGATAGGCTGCTCTTGCCTGCCCCCTAGTGGGGATCCAGCCTGAAACCCAGGCATGTGCCCTGACCAGGAATCTAACCATGACCTCCTGGTTCATAGGTCAATGCTCAACCACTGAGCTACACCAGCAGGGCAGAAATTGCTTTAATCTTGCTCTCAGATTAACTGGACAGTGATTTACTGCATATGGCAACTGCTCAAGGATGTCATTTCTTGTAGTATATGTGTATACATCACATAGCTAACGTGTTCTATGCAAGCAGTTTCAGTAAAATCATTACCTTTTGTGGAATAAGCATGAGATCATTCATTTTATTGCATACTTTAGGCATGCCACTTAGACATGGGGGAAAGTATCTCCTTTGCCAAGAATTAGGAATAATAATGAAATATATTTATGATAACCATTTTTTTTTAGGTTTTCCTAGGAAATGGACAGTTACCTAGAAGTTTGTTTTCCCACTTGCAGAAATAAATGTCCCTTCCCCAAGGAGATATAGTCCCAGGAAAGCAGGAAGTGAGGCTAGATGTAGGCAAAAATGCACTACTTACTTCTTTGTACCAGTGTGTAGCTACCATAGGGAACAAAATTTTACACCTTGAACATGTGACTATTTTAATGCTGCTTGTATCTTCTGTATTTTTTTCCTTTCTCATCATCTTTAATATTTGGTAAAGTTATTTTTTGTCCAATATCAGTCTGTGGAAATCTTGATCAAATATAGGTTGTGCTTTAAAAGAGGAAGTGGCTCAATATTTGGGGAAAAGTTATGGTAGAGGGAGAAGCAAATCCAGCAAGAAAACACCTTTCTGCCACCTTTCTCAGATGGCATTTCAGGTCTCAGGCTAGGCTTTGCCCAAATCTGTTCAAAAATCCCCTGGCACCTATGCTTACCTGAATATGTTGCGTTGTAATTGCTTATTTCTTGTTCTTTTTCTGCTTAACCTGTGAATTCTTTAAGGGCAGATGGCACCTCTATTTTGTTCACTTTGACAAGAGTGTTTAGCATGTGTATACATATTTGCTGAGTGAATAGACAGACAAATGAAGGTGTAAAATATTAAAATGCAAGGGAGGAATGAATCATAGATGATGATTCATATAAAGATTCACTTTCTGGAGAAATACCTTAAACTTTAATATTTTTCTCTCTCAAAATCAGGTCATTTCTTCACATCTCTAATGGTGTCAACTTACATATGAAATATGCCAACAAAGGAGCTCTCTGCATCACCTCCTGTATCTTAAGTGTGACTTCTGCTGGTCAGAATGACCTCTACCGAGCAAAGGGAAGTATGCCCTCATTTTATTCCAGTGCTATGCTAAGTGTCCATCTGTTTGTAAAGCATAAATTTAAATCTCATAAGTTCTTCAGTTATGCCAGAAATTCCCAGTTGCCTTCAAATATATGCATTCCTGGAAGATGTAATTCTGCTTCCAAAGGTCCTCTCTCAAGCTACGCCATTCCTAGAAGAATATGAGTCATAAAGCACTTGTGCATTCTTTACCAACCTGAATGTATAATAACATGAAACAAAGAGATTAAATCAGAAGTTTACTTTCCAGATGAATCCAATGAATGCTTTCAATGACAGCAGACATATGCAAACTTCCTTCGTGTCTGCCAGGGTTCTGCTCATTGTGAAGAGCTCCCAATTGTTGAGGCTTCAAAGCTTACTTTCCTCATTCTCCCCTCTTACCTCACTCACCTATTCACCTCTTTTCTCCTCCTCCACTCTCCCTGCTCCTCCAAGTACAGCAAACTCTGGATCTGGGTAGTTTGGAACTCTAGGCTCGGTAACTTTATGTAAAGGTAGCAGTTTTTACTCCAACAATGCATAACATACTCATGGCCTATAACACACTCCCCATGTGATTCAAATTATCACCTTTCTATCCCCACTGCCTGCTGTCTGTCCTCTGGGCAGTTTCATTCCAATTCGCTTCATCCTTCTGGACCACCTTGCCAACAGTCCCATCATCCACTGTGCTGCTGGAACCTTAATTCTATTTTAAACAACAATCTCTCCTCAGTATTACCCATTAAATACATGTCCAAAATCTGTTTCATAGTGTACAAATTCCTTCATGATTGGCTCCCAACTTACCTTTCTTACTACATGCATTCATTCACTTTTTTTTTCATTCAACATTTACTGAACACCATTAATGCACCTAAATTCTGTTCTTAGTGTTGTAGTTACAGAGGTGATCAAGACAGACAAGATACTTTTTAAATTACTCACTTTAACCCACTGTGCTGCCACTATTAATTTACATATCATTCTCCTTGCTCCTTTTAGGCTACCATTTCCCATGAGCTAAAAACAAGGGTCAGGTCTTATTCATCCTTATATTTATAGGAGCTACCATGGTGCTCATTATAGTACAGGCTCTCCAGTAATGTTGATTTGACTGAACCATGTGGAGTGATTTATAATCACTGGCCATTTATGATTAGAGAACTAGTTTTAATAGCTAACATGCCAGGGAATATTCTTAGTAATGTCCATAGAACTACTAAGTGTTTTTAGTAGTTGTCCAAAACTAAGACTTTTAATCCTCATAACCACTGAGGAAACTATTCCCATTTTAGAGATGTGGAGACTGGGGCACAGTAAAATAACTTGCTTAAGTAAAATAACTTGTCACGTAGCTACCATTAGAGACTGAATCTGAATATTGAAAGGACAGATTAGTGCTCTATAAAAAGGACCCCAGAGAGCTCCCGCATCCATCCCACCATCAAAGAACACAACTAGAAGATTCCACATCTATTAACCAGGAAAGGGCCCTTACCAGACACCAAATCTGCCAGTACCTTGATCTTGGACTTCTAAAATTCCAGAACTGTGAGAAATGAATTCCTGTTGTCTCTAAGCCACTCATTCTGTGCTATTCTGTTATAGCAGCCTGGACTAAGACAGTTACCAAATTGCGCAGCTAAGACAAATACAACTAACCTAGCTCCAGAGCCCATAAATTTAACTACTATTCTATGTCTAGTTATTAGGCTGCTTCTATTTAAGCGCCATTACAAATTTACAACTGTGACCACACTAAGGAAAAATAACTCTCTCTATATCAACATTCCAGCCTCTTTAACTTTTATCTGATAGTTAAAAGTCAAGTCAGTACACAAAATATATATTGTAAAGTCCTCTATACTTTTGGGTTTGATCCTAAAATCAATAATCAACTTCTTAGCATTGTATTTATCACATAAAAACAAACTAGTTGCTCTGGGGAAGCAACGTGAGATCAGGGAAACATTTTTATCCTCTGAATACAATGCAAGTCTCCTCAACACCATTCTTACATTAATTATAATGAAGTGTTTTTGTGAGCAAGAAGATCATTGCCTGCTTGTCATATGATAATTCAGGAAGAGATCAGCTTGATAAATTATTTGAGTGTGCAGAGCTAGATTACTACAAGGCCTTGTCTTTTTTATTCTAAAAAATATCTTATAATGCATGGAAAGGAATATAAGTATTATATGTTCTGTAGAATTCTTATATCATACTATTTCCCCCCCACCACCAAAATGCATTCATTTTACTTTGCAAAGTTATTTATCATTAAAAAATAGAGGAAGCCTGCTTCTTCTATATTGATGATATATATATCATCATCAATAATTATCATCATCAATCATCCTGATTATAAAGATTGGAACCAAGTCATCTTGGCCCTGGGAAGCAGTCATGCTCTGGGAGCTTGCCTGAGCATGGATTTCTCAATATCTACTCTTCCAGTGTTGCAAGGAGGTGTGCATAGGAGGATTCAAGATAGGATAGGATACAATAAAAAAACTCCCAAAATATCACTGGCTTGAAAAAAGAGAAGACATTCCATGTTCACTTTGAGTCTAATGGTGACTCTGGACTATTGTCATTGTCTTCCTCACTGTGACCTGTGGGGTTGAGGAAAATCAGGGCACTGATGGGCCTCCCATTTGGTCATAAGTACTCCAGGTCACTGTTCAAAGCTCAGTAATCAGAGCTACTCACAGTCAACCCCAACAACAAACCAAAGATGCGGAACCCTACCCAGAGAAAGCCAGCCTCAGCGGCTGAGGGTGTGGATGGGGCAGGCACTGGTACTTCTGAAACAAAACCCCGGATCCTACAAG